CGCCCCAATAGATCTATGTAAATATATGTAGTTAGGAAATAAACCTGTTTCGGAAGCAATATCACAGAACAGGTGTGAGTCTCAATACAAAAATTGAATATATCTGAATGACAAAAGCGCAAAACAATATTCTTTTAGAGGCACACATTTTGACAGCGATTGTGCACAAGGTGCGTGAAGTTCCGTAAAAGCTTTCAAACTCTATTCGCGTCAACAAGGGGCGGGTAACTCTAATTACTAAACATACATGCTCTGAATTTTGATATTTTAGTACTTTTACAGTTTGCAAATCCAGCTAATTGTGAAATTACAAGGATGAATAACAAGTTGACATGGCCGAAGATATTTCTGTTTGGAGATTCTATTACACAGGTAACCACCACACACCTGTGACAATTCGGTTACTGTGTGTACATGTGTCGGCTTGCTTTGATCGCTATGGAAATAGGCTACTAATAGTACTGGTCAGATAAGGCGGTTGTATAAATACATGTAAACTTGTTCTAGTTTGATAAACTCCATCTTATTAACCATTCACACTTTGGTATTAGCAACTGAAATGTGCTAAAATTGTGTTGAATTGAATAAGTCACGTATTACCTTTGGTATGACGTCGAAATAAATAAACAGATGCAGTGTGTTTATTTCACGCGAAAACTAATATATTGGTATAGCACGAATCAGGGAGGCGTGGAACTGTAAAAATATTGTAGTGTCGGCCATTTTGCATTAGACACACATCAATGAATTGAGTTCTCACCAAGCTCATTAATTATAGATTAATTATAGATAGTCATTGAAGGATACCAAAAGACATGAAGCAAAACCTGACCTCTAATGAAATGCTTTGTCTGCGCATATCTGCAGCACAACTGATCTTGAACTAAGTGAATGATGGAAGTTCATTCTGGTGTTGTACAACAAATCAACCGTGAAGATATGGGTTAGAATTGATCTTCAGCAACCCATGCCTAGCTGTGGGTATCGGGTGGTCAGGCTCGTGGACTTGGTTCTGTGGGTCATTCCACAAATAGAGGTTCTACGCACATGTCACTGTATCCCAAATCGATGTTCATGCTGTTGATCACTGGATTGTCTGGTCCAGACTTGATTTACAGACCGCTGTCATATAGTTGGAATATTGCTGAGTGTGGTGTTAAACTATAAAGCAAGTAACCAAGTAACCAAGCAAGAAACCCAATGTTACAATTAGGGACCATTCATAATTATGGCTGGGGATGAAGAGGGGTTGGGGGATGATGCAAGTAGGGTCACTTAACAAATCATCAATTTGAACAATTTGGTACTATATGGGGAAGATAAATCTCTTCACATTCATTTGAAAATAACAACACACTGGTTTAATTTTCATTGTGATTTTAGTAATCTTCAGTTTGGTGAGGCATACAGAGCAGTCTCCCATGTAGCTCCTCCCTCTCTCTAGTCACTCACACAAACACACACAAAAGCATGCATGCACACACACACAAACATACCCACTAAAGCATGCCCACACACTCACACACAATGAGCCCCCCTAACGCATGCATTAGAGCGTCCGCCCGGAGAACGGAAGGTCGCGGGTTCGATCCCCGACCGCGTCATACCAAAAGACGTTAAAATATGGTACTTGTTGGTCCCTGCCTGGCTCTCGGCATTAACGGGTACAACAAGGACTGGTCGGCTCGGAGTCAGTATACTGTGTCTGAGTGGGGTATTCATGCTTCACTGCGGCATGGTATCTCAGTGAGCTAGCACTATAAAACCAGCTTAAGTCTGGGCTAGTACAAGCAGCCGCACATACACATACACACTGATACACGTCGTCATATGAGCGAAATATTCTCAAGCACGACGTTAAACCCAATTTCACCTCACCTCACATGCAGACTCCCTATGCACACACTCTACACACACATGCACACACACCCCACACACAAACGCACACACAGAAATATGTCTTCCCTACTCACACTGTACGGTGGTAATGCTGGGGAACCACTTTTCCTTGATGCCCTCTACAGATGACATGTACTTATTGGTTTATTCACAAACACTAACCCATGTGTCATGAATGTCTAGGGCCAGAAGACACAGCCTTACAACAAGTAGTCAAAATGGTACCTTGCATATGTACCTATTATGCATTGTTTAACTAATATCATATCACCCTGTCATTGTATACATTACCTCTGTTGGAGATCTGGCTTCTTATAAGGGCCTATTATTTGACAGAGTGTATGACACAGCATAGATAAGAGGCTGGAGGGTATACAATCGTTATAAAATATTTTATGTATTGTTGCCCAGTTATAAGTGTGTACTAGTGTACTATAAATCCAGTGCAGATTGGCCGAATCTTCTATCTGTAGCCCCAAGTGGTGGCAGATAAAGAAACTGATTGAAAATGATGAGTGAATGAAAAGATAAACAAATAAAAAATGATGAACAGTGAATAGATAACTTATTGTAAAACCACCACAACACCAGGGATTTACATGGAGTCCTGTATTTATGGGTCCCTAGGACTCATACTCTTAATTTTCAGGGGCCCTAGACAACAAAATGGGGGTTCCAGTCACTTAAATATTATTATTAATACTGTTATTATATTGTGCATCATGATCATCACATTGTTACAGTAATTAAATTGCAAATAATACCATAACCCAGCTAGTAGCAAACTCAGTGATAACGTATTGTCACTTTATTAGACGCTTAATATATTTTGTTAGGCCCATTGTCAATTTTAGAGCTCTCTCAAAGGTTAATTTCATGCACTACTTCTTTGAAGGTGTGCTATTGGTATTATTTTTTCATTTAGATACATTTTTTCTTGCCCTTAGATGAAATGTTTAAAAAAACCAGGGCTAGCATTTACACAATATATGACTTTATCAGTATTTCTGTGGAAATGGACTGTTAATGTTATCTAAAGTCAGTTTTAATTTGGTGTCACGCTGACAGTATTTCAGCCTTACAGCAGCTTATCTCAAGTAGTGAGATATAATTTAGTGTGACATTGATAATATGCCAGCTGTAGAGTCATTATAACTATTATGTTGGTAATAATCAGTCCTAAATGGTCCTACAATGTCAGCAACATACTATGAATAGTAGATTAAAAACTAGACATTCCAAATGATAAACAATCATCTAAAAAACTAAGGACAACCTGGAAGTTTCAAATGCAAAAAATAAAGCCATTCCTATTATTATCTTGTGAATATTTTTATCGCTCGGAGTAAAGTACTAAAATGTTTTCACCATATCCCAATTATATTTCCATTGCTTGCCTGTATATGCCTATGAAAAGTTTGAAAAGGGCAAATCACTTAATTCTGTTATTATTTACCTAGGGTAGCCTTTTTGCCTTGTATAACCAACTATCTATACCTGGGTGCAATTTCGCTATTTACAACCAGCACTGGTGCATGTTAAAAATGTCTGTTAACAATAAATCCTCCAACAGCTGTCATTGTGTGTTTTAATTGGGAAGTAAGTGACTGTAATTAACACTTTTTTCTCCACGTGACTTGTTTAAGCAAAAACATTTGTGTACTCATAAATTATTAATATAGCAGTAATCATATAATTGAGATTTTTAAATAAAGGTAATACAAAACTGAAATAGAATCATTCATCATTTATCATTAAGGAGTCAGGTTCTGTTGAATGTATCTGATACTGAGGACTTGTTATGAAAATTGATAAACAAGTATTTATGTTATGTTTTAGAATCATTAACATTATTTCAGGGTGGAAATAACCATTGCCCGACGTCCGAGTCCAGTGTCTTTTTTCTGTCGGGCAAGCAAATTTGTATATCACACTGTACTGGTGTCCAGTTGACTTTCCAATGTTAATTATGTTGTTTATTTAAAAAATCAACAAGAAAAAGTGGACTGATATAGTGGAAAAATTATCAGGGCAAGTGATTTTACATGTGCCACTGTACCGGAGTACACTAGCAATTTTAAAGTTATTTCCATCCCTGTATTTTATGGTGCAACAAATATGTTGATGGGGCAGCCAAACCTATAAGCCAGGTTGCTGAAAACCCTTGAAATCGCACCCTGTGTACATAGTAAGGCTCTTACAATCTAGATCGCTAAACTGATAATTGCTTGAATATCAGGTAGCTGCTATCAAATTGAGTGGAACATATTTATGAGCACTATCTCGCTAACAAGTTGAGTGGAACATAATTCTGAGCACTAACTTGATAAGACATTAGGTGGAACATAATCCTGAGCACTATGTTGTTAACAAGTTCAGTGGAACAAAATCCTGAGCACTATTTTGTTAACAAGTTGAGTGGAACATAATCCTGAGCACTATTTTGTTAACAAGTTGAGTGGAACATAATCCTGAGCCCTAAGTTGCTAACAAGTTAATGGAACATAATCCTGAGCACTAAGTTTCTAGCAAATTATGTGGAACATAATCCTCACTTTAGTTGCTAACAAATTAAGTGGAACATACTTCATATCACAAAATTGATAGCAGCAAAAGTTGCACTTAATCCTGATCAAAAGTTGATAGCAGGAAAAAAAAGTGCACTTATCCGGATCATAAGGTTGATGATAGCATGTTGGTTTGTACTTTTGATCCTGAGCTTAAAGTTAATCAGAGATTTAATGGCAATTAATCCTGAGCACACAAAATGATAACAGGTTGGGTGCCACATTGAATCTGTATCATTACACAGTGACATATCATATTGGAAAATGGCTTATTTCAAACAGAAATAAATCTGTGTAGGTTAATGGCATCAACTGTATATTTTTAGTTTCAGTATAGTTTCAGCCAGGAAGGCCAGACCCATTGATCATCTGTAACACTGCCACAAGCTTGAGTGAGGTGAGTGAGTGAGTGAGTGAAGTTTAGTTTTATATTGCGTTTAGCAATATTCCAGCAATATCACGACGGGGGACACCAGAAATGGACAGCATATTGTACCCCCACTTCTAACAGTACTCGGTTGTATCCACGGTTGAATGAAAGCCATCAAACAGGTCTTACATGTTTACCTCTTTGGCAAACTCATGATCACAGGTTTCCTGCACAACCCTGCAGGGTCAGTGGGAGTAGCCTAGTGGTTAAAAGGCACCAAATGCCCAGGTTTGATTCCCCACATGGGCACAATGTGTGAAGCCCATTTCTGGTGTCCCCGCCATGATATTGCTGGGATATTGCTAAAAGCGGGTAAAACTACACTCATTCACTCTGGTGTGCCTAAGGGACACAACCCTGCACAGTAAATTGCAGAGGATAAAATTATTCGTGTGCCCCTCTTTAATGAAGTATGGGTCAGCAGCAGAAACAACCTATGTGCTTCAGGTGGCATAACCAGTGATATTTATATCACCCTTATAAACATTGGCTGCCGCCAAATTCTAAGAACTTCCAAAATGTAACCAAGTTCCTCTGTAAAGTCTAAAATTCCTTGTCCTTTGGTTGTTGTGAATGATAAATGACTTATGATACTAATAATTTCCTGTTTTCAGGAAATGTGATGTGATAAATCGTGGTTTCTCCCGCTACAATGCCAGGTGGTGCAAGTTTGTGCTGCCCCAGATCTCCTCAGCAGCTGATGATGCTGCAAGTGTAGCTGCTGTCACCATCTTCCTTGGTGCTAATGATTCCAATGATGGAGACCTGAACCCCACACAGCATGTGCCCTCAAAGACTATACAGAAGACCTGATAGAGATGGTGGCATATTTGCAGGTCAGTAGTTATCTCCCTTTGAAGGGCAGACTTATATTGATAATGATATCTTCATTATTATTTAACATATTTCTCATTATTATGACACAAAAAATTAAAGTTTGGTAGCATTTACCACGAAATACAAAATGTTCAAGGCACTCATCACAATCTTCTTTCTTGTTCCTCTTCATCCCCTCTTCCTGTTTCTGATCCACCTGGTTGTTGAGTTGAGATCACCTGGTTGTTGAGTTGATCCAACTGGTTGTTGAGTTGATCCTTCTGCTTGTTGATGTTGATCACCTGGTTGTTGAGCTGATCCACCTGGCTTGTTGAGTTGATCCAACTGGTTGTTGAGTTGATCCACCTGCTTGTTGAGTTGATCCACCTGGTTGTTGAGTTGATCCACCTGCTTGTTGGAGTTGATCCACCTGGTTGTTGAGTTGATCCAACTGGTTGTTGAGTTGATCCACCTGGTTGTTGATTTGATCCACCTGCTTGTTGAGTTGATCCACCTGTTTGTTGAGTTGATCCACCTGGTTGTTGATTTGATCCACCTGCTTGTTGAGTTGATCCACCTGGCTGTTGAGTTGATCCACCTGCTTGTTGATTTGATCCACCTGCTTGTTGAGTTGATCCACCTGGTTGTTGAGTTGATCCACCTGCTTGTTGATTTGATCCACCTGGTTGTTGGCTTGATCACCTGGTTGTTGAGTTGATCCACCTGCTTGTTGAGTTGATCCAACTGGTTGTTGAGTTGATCCACCTGCTTGCTGCTGGAGTTGATCCACCTGGTTTGTTGAGTTGATCCACCTGGTTGTTGATTTGATCCACCTGCTTGTTGAGTTGATCACCTTGGTTGTTGAGTTGATCCAACTGAAGTTGTTGAGTTGATCCACCTGGTTGTTGATTTGATCACCTGGCTGTTGAGTTGATCCCACCTGCTTGTTGAGTTGATCCAACTGGTTGTTGAGTTGATCCACCTGGTTGTTGATTTGATCCACCTGGTTGTTGAGTTGATCCACCTGGTTGTTGAGTTGATCCAACTGGTTGTTGAGTTGATCCACCTGGTTGTTGAGTTGATCACCTGCTTGTTGAGTTGATCCACCTGCTTGCTGAGTTGATCCAACTGGTTGTTTGAGTTGATCCACCTGTTTGTTGATTTGATCCACCTGGTTGTTGAGTTGATCCACCTGGTTGCTGATTTGATCCACCTGCTTGCTGAGTTGATCCAACTGGTTCGATTTGCTGAGTTGATCCACCTGGTTGTTGAGTTGATCACTTATAGCTTGCTGAGTTGATCCACCTGCTTGCTGAGTTGATCCAACTGGTTGTTGAGTTGATCCACCTGTTTGTTGATTTGATCCACCTGGTTGTTGAGTTGATCCACCTGGTTTGTTGATTTGATCCACCTGGTTGCTGAGTTGATCACCTGGTTGTTGAGTTGATCCACCTGCTTGCGATGAGTTGATCCAACTGGTTGTTGAGTTGATCCACCTGGTTGTTGATTTGATCCACCTGGTTGCTGAGTTGATCCACCTGTTTGTTGATTTGATCCACCTGGTTGTTGAGTTGATCCACCTGGTTGTTGATTTGATCCACCTGCTTGTTGAGTTGATCCACCTGGTTGTTGAGTTGATCCAACTGGTTGTTGAGTTGATCCACCTGTTTGTTGAGTTGATCCACCTGCTTGTTGAGTTGATCCACCTGCTTTGTTGATTTGATCCACCTGCTTGTTGAGTTGATCACCTGGTTGTTGAGTTGATCCACCCTGCTTGTTGAGTGGATCCAACTGGTTGTTGAGGTTGATCCACCTGGTTGTTGAGTTGATCCACCTGCTTGTTGAGTTGATCCACCTGTTTGTTGAGCTGATCCAACTGGTTGTTGAGCTGATCCACCTGGTTGTTGATTTGATCCACCTGCTTGTTTGAGTTGATCCACCTGGCTGCTGAGTTGATCCACCTGGTTGTTGAGTTGATCCAACTGGATTTGTTGAGTTGATCCACCTGCTTGTTGAGTTGATCACCTGCTTTGTTGAGTTGATCCACCTGTTTGTTGAGTTGATCCACCTGGTTTGTTGAGTTGATCCTCCTGCTTGTTGAGTTGATCCACCTGCTTGTTGAGTTGATCCAACTGGTTGTTGAGTTGATCCAACTGGTTGCTGAGTTGATCCACCTGCTTGCTGGAGTTGATCACCTGGTTGTTGAGTTGATCCAACTGGTTGTTGAGTTGATCCACCTGGCTGTTGAGTTGATCACCTGCTTGCTGAGTTGATCCAACTGGTTGCTGAGTTGATCCACCTGGTTGCTGAGTTGATCCAACTGGTTGTTGAGTTGATCCACCTGCTTGCTGAGTTGATCCAACTGGTTGCTGGAGTTGATCCAACTGCTTGCTGAGTTGATCCACCTGGTTGTTGGATTTGATCCAACTGGTTGCTGAGTTGATCCACCTGGCTGTTGATTTGATCCACCTGGTTGTTGAGTTGATCCACCTGTTTGTTGAGTTGATCCACCTGCTTGTTGAGTTGATCCAACTGGTTGCTGAGCTTGATCCACCTGCTTGTTGATTTGATCCACATGGTTGTTGATTTGATCCACCTGGTTGTTGAGTTGATCCACCTGTTTGTTGAGTTGAAACTGTTTGTTGAGTTGATCCACCTGCTTTGCTGAGTTGGATCCACCTGTTTGCTGAGTTGAAACTGTTTGTTGAGTTGATCCACCTGGTTGTTGAGTTGATCCACCTGGTTGCTGGTCCACCTCGTTTTGTCAATCCATCTGTTGATGATGATGATGATGATGATGATGATGATGATAGGATATTTATATAGCTCACATATCCACAGTTAACAAGTACATACTCAAGGCTTTGGAGTATTCCCTTGATCAATGGATGTCTCTTTTACTGGCATTATTTTAACCATCTCAACTCCCCTGGGGAGTATTCAACTCATGCAGCCTGTTAGGCAGCTAGTTATCACAAAGCCTCATCCTCGCAAGGTACCCATTTGCAGCTGCACATAGTCACACTATTTTGTCCAATGATACTGCACGCTACTATACCAGTGACTAGGTGTCTGCAAGTGTTCGTGATGAGTCCACCATCTAGTCACCTACCGCCGGATGAGTGGGTTCTTTTAAGTGCACAGGGTTGTGTACTGCACACTAGTTGTGACAACACTGAAAGATCCTACAAGTAATGTTAGCTCCAAGGTTTTACACCCGTCACAAGTCGGATCGATCCAGGCACCTTTCGCCACTGAAGCGCATGCTTTGTGAATACTTGCCCACCATGCTGACTGACCTGTTTGCTGAGGTACGCTGTTTGTTTGTTGATCTACCTGTATGCTGACTCGCCTTTTAGCTGATCCACCTGTTTGTTGATCTACCTGTTGGCTGACTCCAACTGTTAGCTGATCCACCTGTTTGTTGATCTACCTGTTGGCTGACTCATATGTTAGCTGATCCACCTGTTTGTTGATTCACCTGTTGGCTGACTCAACTGTTTGTTGACCCACCCGCTTGTTGACCCACCTGGTTGTCGATCCACCCTGTTTGTTAACCCACCTGTTTGTCGATCCACCATGTTTGTTGACCCACCTGGTTGTCGATCCACCCTGTTTGTTCATCCACCTGTTTGTCAATCCACCTTGTTTGTTCATCCACCTGTTTGTCAATCCACTTGTTTGTTCATCCACCTGTTTGTCGATCCACCCTGTTTGCTGACCCACCTGTTACCTGATCCACCTGTTAGCTGATCGACCTGTTAGCTCATCCACCTGTTTGCTGACCCAGCTGTTGTTTCCCCTGCAGTCTATCGGCATCCAGAGAGAGAATCATCCCTCATCACTCCGCCACCATGTGATGAGAACGCCTGGGGAGAAGAATGCAAGAAGAAAGGTATTCTCCATCCCCTATTTGCCATGTGTTTTCAGGCAATATGAATTCATCTACTGCAGATGTTTAGCAGCTTGTCTTTTAAAGATCCTCTGAAATTGAACTTCAATCCCAACATTCACAAAAATTATTGTTTCTACTAGGTTAGATGTATATTACCACCCATTGTCTGTTGTTATGAAAATGTAGAAAAAAATGAGGGTTTTGTGGGGCAAGAGATATCAGCTGTATTCTTTGAATGACATCACCTAGACAAATGGCATCATGAACAATGTAGGATGTTATCATCAATTATTTGTGGCAATTTGTTGATATTATTATGATAAGGGTCTTGGGTCTAAGTGATGGTTCCGTGAAACCCCTTATCTAACTGACGCGGTTGGTCTGCTTTGGGAATTAACTCAGCTAAGAGTCCGCAAGTCACAAGAAGCTAATCACAATTTTATTTACAAGAACGGAATAACATGGGGTGGCCACAGAGAGTCGGTACAACCCTCTGGGCTGAGGGCTAGAGCTGACCTGTGTTGAGATCTAAACCCTACTGACGAACAAATGGAGTTGGTGACTATTTATCTAAAATTGAAACAATAAAAAGATTATGATTCGCTAGAATGATACAAAATGGGTGTTCCCTATACTAACCAATGAAATACAGAATATGCGGTATGGGGTGTGTCCTACAAATGAAATGACCAGGACAGGGAGAGTACTTTAACTCTACTAACCTGTTTCAACTGGCACTAATTGTGTTGACACATGTCCTGGAAGCTTCCTAATTTAACTGTAGCTAATTGTGCTGACATGTTGCTTGGGTGGTTATGGTGTTACAATAGATGGCTTAATGACCCTGATTTAAAGTGTTTGCACAATATAATTTTAATGGAGGTGATGACATGTTTACTTTATCAAAAGCAGTTCATTAAATCGTGCCTAGACATTACTTTGTCCCACTGAAAGGTTTGAGTCCTTGAAACCTTAGGCTAGGATTTATCTTGAACATCTGTGAAACTGTGCAGCCAGTAACTTATACCTTTTCATTAGTATGTCTGTGAGATGAGTTTTACTACTTTTGACTGGAGTCTTTCTCTAAGCTATTACTGATACATGATGAAACTAATATTCTATATTTATATTTTCCTAATATCTCAATCCTAATATATCGGCTTGTAGTGGTTATAATAATAATGAATTTTCGTATGAATTATTATTCCATGATAATATGATGCAAGTCAGTAAGAGCAACTTAGCAGAACTTACCAGAACTTACCAGAACTTGGCAGATGAACTTGGCAGAACACTGTTACAACTGGTGTAAAGTCAGTACAACAAACATTATGCTGCTCAGAGATAGATAGAGAAACTAATTCACCAATGGCCTTTCACATTCATCAATGTGTGATCCACAATCCCCACATGCTTTAATTGATTTAAACATATTTTTATTCATGAAGATCAATTGGGATTGGTGAACAAGCATTACTGCTTATATTAACACCGCTCCCATGCAACATATAATACAACGTGAAAATGGAGGATTTGACGTCATCGATACTGACGATTGCATAAATATCATATATTTAAAATATATAAATATATATAGATTACATGACTATAGATTACATGCTTTAATTCACACTGGTTGGTGAGTGAGTGAGAAAATTGAGAGAGAGAAGAGAGGGGCTTATATTAAATTCAACATTCAAGTAATATGGCACATAATTTGCCTGCATGCTGAATCAGACTGAGATGCGAGAATTACACTGTGGAATCATCCTTTGATGAATGTGACATAAACACATGACAGTGACTGATATACGACATATAGCTGTGACATACAACTCTGATATACACAACCAGATGTGACATACACAAAACGTGTGTGGAATATACACATACAACTGTGACATACATATACGACTTTCACCTGTTGTTCATTCGGCATTAAAGGACACCGTGTGTTTCGATTGAGATATTGTTCAAAATATTGTTTTCAAAATCTTCCATGGTGTTGAAAATTATTTGATCTTGATAGGTCAGTGAAAGTTTTCAGTTTCAATAACCACATCTCACAGACTCCTTTTAAATTGGAAAGGAAACCAAGTGAGATAGGAGATCCAGGGACTAATAATATTTGTGTTCGAGTTGAATCAAGAGATTTTTTCTGAGGGCTTTTGTATTCTAGAAAGAGCAGAGCAGAGAATATAATATATAGTCATTGGCAAACATTACTGTAACACAAACATCAAACAAAATCAGTGTTAAATTTTACTGCCACAAATGACATGGAAAGACAAATGTTTCACGATAAGATAATGATCAACAGCCCTTAAGACAAGCACTATTGTCATATGCAAATGAGCCACAATCAAGTTTGCACGGTCCGTTGCGAGTTTGTCCACCTTGTGCATGAATGGCACCTTCACCTCATTGAGGTCTCTAAATGTTGATGAAAGTCCTGGGAAGATCATTTCATATCTGAAGAAGGACTTGGCGGAGTTCTTGGAGGATTCGGATGACATCGTAAACATCAAGTCATTTTATCTTATACATTTTGCACGGATGCCATAGACAAATAGTCGTCATCAAACTGTTTTCGCAGTTACACCTCTATTGTCATGGATTGTAAGGGTTGATGGGGTGAATCTGTGTTGGAGGTACGATGTTCAAATCCATTGGTCTAGATGTATGGCTGTTTCTGGCTCTGTCCACAGTGGGGACGGCCTAAACTTGTTTTGACATTACATTGCCATAAGTGCCAGATGATGTTTCAATGGACATTGAATCAAGGAGAAACATCATGCTGTGAGGTACCAAAGCCTGCCATCTGTCATGTTGTCATGTTCCCCAGAGGAGTGGCATGTCAAACTTGTTCCAGAAAAGATGTCTTTTTCTGACTGTTACACTTCCTTAGACTGCATTGAGTGGAAATGATAAGTGTCTGTTTGTCTGACCTTTTAAAGTGAACTTTGCTGGCCATTTACATATACATGATGCTTCTTGTAAATTTCTTTCAATTCAAACAAATGCTTGTTTATGTTTCTTTAACCATTTTTATACACTCTTTTGCTGTGTCCAAAAATTCATTACAACATTACCAATGAAAAAGTTCCATGTCAAAATATTGTTTGCCTCTGAGTATAGTTCAGGGATTATAACTGCCTCTCAAACAGCTGATTTGGTCCAGGTCACTATGGAAATAAGTTTGATACAGAGAGATTACTTCTCAGTTATTGTGAGCATGCCTGTCGAAACAATGATGCGTACCCTTATAGGTTACATAATATGCCAGGTATGTTTTCAACTCCATTATACACACACAGATTGATAGTGATTTAGCTCAATTTTGCTGACTGTGGGAAACAAACACTCCTTTCTAATGTCTCCCATGGCATTTGTCTCGTGCCCAGGTAAACCGATGAGCAAGTCCAACACGCTGACAGAGCTGTATGCCAAGGTCTGTGCTAAGGTTGCCAGTGACTGCGGTACCCAGTGTGTGGACCTGTACAAGGCCGTGATGAAATCAGAGGTAACTGTGTTAGAGGAGTCGAACTTGAAGCAGTATAAAAATAATATTATTACTTGATTTATGAATCAACCACCTCCAGAAAATTGAAGTGTGACATCATTATTTAGAGCAAAGTATTTTTCATATTATAACTACCAGAACAGCCTAATGTTAAAAATCCTACCTATATTTACCATACTATAGCTAAATTACTTTGACATAGTTATTTATATTTTATATGACGTATAAGTAAAAAATGAAGATTTTATTTCATTTTCGATATTGTTGGAATTCTGGGCCCTTTTGCAACCATTATATTTCACATAATTTACATGATGTTAATTCATCATGTCAGTGTCATATATTGTTTAATCTCTGTGTTTACAATATTTAAGTGTTAAAAATACTGTCGTTAATTTTGATGTTCAATACAGCTGCCATATTCATGCCTTTATATTTTTCCCTTTTCAGCTTTTCTATTTGGCATATTTTAATAGGCAATTGATTTGTAGTTTTTAAAGTAATTTTTCTTTGAATGTTTCTGTATTTGCAGGAATGGAAGAACATGCTTTGTGATGGTCTCCACCTATCACAGACAGGCTCTCACTTGCTGTTTACACTGCTCCAGCCAATCGTAGACAAGCTTACATCAGATGTTGTCTTCAAGTTTCCGTTGTGGGATGAAGTGGACTACATGAATCCTAAAGTGTCTCTATGCTCTACCAATACATCTAGTTAATGTGTAGGTGCTCTGTGACTAGTTAGTATGCAGATGCTCTGTGACTAGTTAGTGAGCAGATGCTCTGTGACTAGTTAGTATGCAGATGCTCTGTGACTAGTTAGTATGCAGATGCTCTGTGACTAGTTAGTATGCAGGTGCTCTGTGACTAGTTAGTATGCAGATGCTCTGTGACTAGTTAGTATGCAGGTGCTCTGTGACTAGTTAGTATGCAGGTGCTCTGTGACTAGTTGTGTATGCAGATGCTCTGTGACTAGTTAGTATGCAGATGCTCTGTGACTAGTTAGTATGCAGGTGCTCTGTGACTAGTTAGTATGCAGATGCTCTGTGACTAGTTAGTATGCAGATGCTCTGTGACTAGTTAGTATGCAGATGCTCTGTGACTAGTTAGTATGCAGATGCTCTGTGACTAGTTAGTATGCAGGTGCTCTGTGACTAGTTAGTATGCAGGTGCTCTGTGACTAGTTAGTATGCAGATGCTCTGTGACTAGTTAGTATGCAGATGCTCTGTGACTAGTTAGTATGCAGATGCTCTGTGACTAGTTAGTATGCAGATGCTCTGTGACTAGTTAGTATGCAGATGCTCTGTGACTAGTTAGTATGCAGATGCTCTGTGACTAGTTAGTATGCAGGTGTGACTAGTTAGTATGCAGATGCTCTGTGACTAGTTAGTATGCAGATGCTCTGTGACTAGTTAGTATGCAGGTGCTCTGTGACTAGTTAGTATGCAGATGCTCTGTGACCAGTTAGTATGCAGGTGCTCTGTGACTAGTTAGTATGCAGGTGCTCTGTGACTAGTTAGTATGCAGATGCTCTGTGACTAGTTAGTATGCAGATGCTCTGTGACTAGTTAGTATGCAGATGCTCTGTGACTAGTTAGTATGCAGATGCTCTGTGACTAGTTAGTATGCAGGTGCTCTGTGACTAGTTAGTATGCAGATGCTCTGTGACTAGTTAGTATGCAGATGCTCTGTGACTAGTTAGTATGCAGGTGCTCTGTGACTAGTTAGTATGCAGGTGCTCTGTGACTAGTTAGTATGCAGGTGCTCTGTGACTAGTTAGTATGCAGATGCTCTGTGACTAGTTAGTATGCAGGTGCTCTGTGACTAGTTAGTATGCAGGTGCTCTGAGACCAGTTAGTATGCAGGTGCTCTGTGACTAACAACTACCTTATCTAATCACGGTACCTTTCAATTTGATCTCTAAGCTCCAAGTAATTTATGATGAAACTTACAAACATGAATAATATTTTTAATGGTGTACTGATGATATTTGTTCGAAGTTGTTTTGATTTCTGGCATCAGTAACACACACTCGTACGAAAAAACAAATAGCCAATAAGGCAAAACATACCAGTTTCTGACCACTAAACACAACCACCTTCCTTCATCATAGTTCAAGTTAGCGAATGTTTTTGGTTTTAGGCTTATGCACTGTGAAGTGTCTTTGGTATATGATTTGTCTACACCAGCTCAGGGCCAATATTTGGCCCAAATTGCCTAAAAGTAAAATGTCTTAATTGAATTTGAATTCAGAATTTCCCAATACCCAGAAATGACAAAAATATTGAAAATATAAATTTTTAGAATATCAAAATCTTTTTTTCCTGCCAAGGGGTACATAACATGGGATCCTTCATAACTCTGTGGCTACAGCAAATGTGTGTCATGTCAGTTCACGTACACATTTTCTTGATTATCTTTGAGCATATTCTTGCAGAGATTTGCAGGACGCGAATTCCTGCGTCCTATACGTATAAAAATTGACAATGGACGCAACAGAATTATCAGCGCGTCCACAGGGACCCAGAAAAAGTCCAAATACTTTTTGTAAAAATTCCAATCAAGTAACAATGAGTTATCACCGAGTTTGCTACTAGACTGTAACAATGTCATGATGATGATACACAATACAATAACAGTATTAATAATAATATTTAAGTGTCTGGGACCCCCATTTTGTTGTCCAGGACCCTTGAAAATTAAGAGTATGAGTACCAGGGACACTCAAATACAGGACTCCATGTAAATCCCTGTGTCTTGGTTTATTCAGTGTAGTTAAATAACACTACATACATTTTGGGTCCAGATGTTTGAGTATTTTGCACGAAGGAGAAAATGTTTATATATATTGTTTTGAGTAGCTTCTGCTCTTATGCTGTTCGGGGTGGTGGGATAGTCTAGTGGTTAAAGCGTTGGCTCGTCACGCCGAAGACCTGGGTTCGAATCCCCACATGGGTACAATGTGTGAAGCCAATTCCTGGTGTCCCCCACCGTGATGTTGCTGGAATATTGCTAAAAGCCGCGTAAAACCGAACTCAGTCAGTCAGTCTTATGCTGTTCGAAGTGTGGCACATTGGATGATCTCACAGAAATGTCTTCGGTACATTAAGTGCAATGTATTTCAACATATTGTCTTTTTACAGACAAAGTGGTTCATACTGTTGGATGTTTACAGTTCATTTGCATACTGTGTATGCAAAATAGTTGGATTATGGTGATATATTTTGTGTAATTTACATGAATACTCCTCATATTTTAAAGTGATATTGACACAGTGCATACTGTTGACTTCAAAGATTTGTTATCAGTGTTGCATATATTTGAATGAAAGAATATATATTTGAAGTTGAGTGAGATAGTTTTGTATTCATTAAACTGCTGAGAAGATGGCGTCATCTGGGGACACTATCATAGTTTTGTTTGTTTGTTTGTCGTTTAACACCGCACTCAGCAATATTCCAGCTACATGGTGGCAGTCTGTAAATAAACGAGTCTTGATCCAGTGGTCAACATCATGAGCATTGATCTATGCAATTGGGATATGATGACGTATCAACCTAGTCACCCGATCAGGTTAGTCGTCTTTTACGACACACCCGTGAAGAATTGGTCCTTAGTAACCCGTGCTTGTCGTAAGATTGATTAAATCTGTGGTTTGTCTGAGCAGTTATGGCTGAAGGACGAAGGTGTGTTCACTTGTGATTGGTTGAATTTGAGGTGGGTGTGTCTGATTAATAATGATTGACAAGTTAGAAATTTTCCATGTACTTAAAAAGGGATTCATTATTGACTGAGTATGCAACTATTTTTCAAAGTTTCTTGTTATTCCATGGATAGCAAGGTGCATCTATTTGTACTGTTTCACTTATTTTCTCCATAGTATACCACCCATATGTGCCTTGTTTGGTTAATGAATGTTATAGTTTTCATGTCATGGTGACCCGTGAAGATCCGGGTAGAATATGTCTTCAGCAACCCATGCTTTCCACAAAAGGCAACTATGCTTGTCGTGAAGAGGCTTAATTAACGGATCGGGTGCTCATGCTGTTGATCACTGGATTGTTGGTCCAGACTTGATTATTTACAGACCGCTGCCAAATAGCTGGAATATCGCTGAGTGTGGCGTGAAAATTAAACTCACTCACTCATGTCATGGATTATGGTATTATTTCCAATGAACATGTTACACCAGACCAAGCACAGAGAGAGGGGAACTTCTTTGAGAGGCATTTAGAAGTTGGGGCAGTAAGGAAGGATAACAATATATGGATGAACAACTTCTTTATTGCTGTGAGTGCGACGTTTCGGTGTAGGTTCTAACACCGTTATCAAGCAAGTGATGAACAGCATAAGGATGAAGGAGCATATATACAAGTTAGAGCAGATGTTTGTACAGTGCAATGGCAAGTAGGAAGTCAGACACAATAACAACAAGGGGATTAGGAAGCCAGACACAATAACAAGACAAGGGCATATGTGAATGCTTTCCTATCCCCATTGTACTGTAAAACATCTGCTCTAACTTGTGTATATGCTCCTCCATCCTTATGCTGTTCATCACTTGCTTGATAACGTTGTTAGAACCTACATCAAAATGTTGCACCTACACTCGAAACAGCAATAAAGAAGTTGTTCATTCATATATTGTTATCCTTCCTCACAGAGGGAGGGGACTCAAAATATTTTTATTTCAAATTCGTTAGTGATATGCAGCAAAATATGCATTTGCAGTTGCCTGCATGTAAAGAAAATGGTTCACTGGATTACTGGAAAAACATGTAGGTTGAAATATGATTTAAAAGAAAATTCATTGACAAAAGCGTTCTGTGTCAGGAAATCCAATGCCCTGAGAATATTAAATGGTGTTCACCTCGTAATGGGCTTGGTAGGGCTAGTAATCTAAGGCCCTGCAATTTGTTGTGCAGAGCTGCATCCCTTTGGCTTACCATGATGTCAATTCCTGATGTCCTTTGACAAGAATAACACCATCAGCTGAAGACAATTTGAAACTAAAATAATTGAAAACATTTTTTGTTGCATTTGAAATTAAGTGATTTGTTCAAAGGTCTAGTAATCCAGTGGCTAGTTGACTTTTGTGGGAATATGGAATAACTGGTAATGAATTATATAGTGACAAGCCCACTGTTGCCATGCCTCCAAAGATGGCTACATGATGGAGATTAATATCACATTATTTATTCCCGAATAAAGATCTATTCTATCTGTATGGGTTGTGTTGTTAGTGATTTACTTGTACTTGTAGCCAGTCACAATAAAGCACAACCATCATCTTTGGATTCCAGTAAACTCTGAGGAAGAATGAGTTGCAAGTAGCATATGCTTGTCTCCATTTTGGACTCCAGTACACTGTTAAATAATGGGTTCCAAAACTTGAAAGATGTGCCACTGACATACTACCAGTTATAATCAGGTCGATTCTTTGGTTTGAACCAAGTCTTTTCATTATATGTTATGATTATATTTTTTTTAAACATATCTTTCTGTAAAATATGTTCATTTTTCAACTAACGGCAAGTATGTCTTAGCAAGGATATCTCCAACACTTATACCATGCTTGTCAAGATGACTAAAATGTGTATCTTATGCAAACTCCAACTCTTCCTTGGTCTTGTATGGAGTGTGTCGGCCCAGAAGGTCGCTTGTTCGATCCCCTGACCTTGGTCTTGTATGGAGTGTGTCGGCCCAGAAGGTCAGTTGTTCGATCCCCGACCTTGGTCTTGTAGGGAGTGTGTCGGCCCAGAAGGTCAGAAGGTCACTTGTTCGATCCCCTGACCTTGGTCTTGTAGGGAGTGTGTCGGCCCAGAAGGTCGCTTGTTCGATCCCCGACCTTGGTCTTGTAGGGAGTGTGTCGGCCCAGAAGGTCACTTGTTCGATCCCCGACCTTGGTCTTGTAGGGAGTGTGTCGGCCCAGAAGGTCGCTTGTTCGATCCCCGACCTTGGTCTTGTAGGGAGTGTGTCGGCCCAGAAGGTGATTGTTCGATCCCTGACCTTGGTCTTGTAGGGAGTGTGTCGGCCCCAGAAGGTCGCTTTGTCGGCCCAGGATCATCCCCCGACCTTGGTCTTGTAGGGAGTGTGTCGGCCCAGAAGGTTGATTGTTTGATTCCTGACCTTGGTCTTGTAGGGAGTGTGTCGCCCAGAAGGTTGATTGTCTCGGATCCTGACCTTGGTCCTGTGGTGTTGCCCAGAAGGTTGATTGTTTGATTCCTGACCTTGGTCTTGTAGGGAGGTCGCCCAGAAGGTTGATTGTTCGATCACCCGACCTTGGTCTTGTAGGGAGTGTGTCGGCCCAGAAGGTTGATTGTTTGATTCCTGACCTTGGTCTTGTAGGGAGTGTGTATGCCCAGAAGGTCATTGTTCTTGTAGGGGATCGTCGGCCCAGAAGGTTGATTGACCTTGGTCTTGTAGGGAGTGTGTCGGCCCAGAAGGTTGATTGTTCGATTCCCTGACCTTGGTCTTGTATGGGGAGTGATTGTTCGCCCAGAAGGTCACTTGTTCGATCCCTGACCTTGGTCTTGTAGGGAGTGTGTCGGCCCAGAAGGTTGATTGTTCGATTCCTGACCTTGGTCTTGTAGGGAAGGTGTGTGTCAGCCCAGAAGGTCTTGTACTTTGTCGGCCCAGAAGATCACCGACCTTGGTCTTGTAGGGAGTGTGTCGCCCAGAAGGTTGATTGTTCGATTCCCCGACCTTGGTCTTGTAGGGAGTGTGTCGGCCCAGAAGGTCACTTGTTCGATCACTGTCTTGGTCTTGTAGGGAGTGTGTCGGCCCAGAAGGTTGATTGTTTAGGGAGGAGGTCGGCCCAGAAGGATCGATTCCTGACCTTGGTCTTGTAGGGAGTGTGTCGGCCCAGAAGGTTGATTGTTTGATTCCTGACCTTGGTCTTGTAGGGAGTGTGTCGCCCAGAAGGTCGCTTGTTCGATCCCCGACCTTGGTCTTGTAGGGAGTGTGTCGTGTATGCCCAGAAGGTCAGTTGTTCGATCCCCGACCTTGGTCTTGTAGGGAGTGTGTCGGCCCAGAAGGTCGCTTGTTCGATCCCCGACCTTGGTCTTGTAGGGAGTGTGTCGGCCCAGAAGGTCACTTGTTCGATCCCCGACCTTGGTCTTGTAGGGAGTGTGTCGGCCCAGAAGGTCGCTTGTTCGATCCCCTGTTGAAGGTTGATTTCGATTCCTCGACCTTGGTCTTGTAGGGAGTGTGTCGGCCCAGAAGGTCAGTTGTTCGATCCCCGACCTTGGTCTTGTAGGGAGTTTGTCGGCCCAGAAGGTGTGTCGGCCCAGAAGGTCGCTTGTTCGATTCCTGTCCTGGTCACTTGGTCACTTGTTCGATCTCTGACCTTGGTCTTGTATGGAGTCTCTCGGCCCAGAAGGTTGGTTGTTCGATTCGGTCCGTCTTATCACAAAACGCTCAGAGATTGTTTGTCTGAATGGCGCTTGGCACCAAAACATGATACATGGTCTGGCTGGTTCGGAGAAGAATGTATAACTCTCTCCCTAAACTAACCAACCGGGCAAATACATTGCAATTATCTTCAATACTACGTTAAATCCTAGTTTATTTAAATGGTTTAATTAAATGGTGTCGTCGCAACCTCTGTAGAAGGGCTACTGCAGTGTTGCGTCCCTTGGGATTGTCGGACACTCAGTGGTTCGAGCCCCAGACTGACTTGACCGCCTGTGTGGTGTAGTGGTTAGAGCGTCCGCCCGGAGAGCGGAAGGTCGCGGGTTCGATCCCCGACTGCGTCATACCAAAAGATGTTAAAATATGGTACTTGTTGGTCCCTGCCTGGCGCTCGACATTAATGGGTACAACAAGGACTGGTCGGCTCGGAGTCAGTATAATGTGTCTGAGTGGGGTATTCATGCTTCACTGCGGAATGGTATCTCAATTGGCTAGCACTATAAAAATCTGGGCTAGTACAAGCAGCCACACATACACACGCATGCACGTCGTCATATGAGCGAAATATTCTCAAGCACGACCTTAAACCCAATTTCACCACCTTCACCCAGACTGACTGATTCAGCACCCTGCCCGTGCTTGGTTTAGCCAAAGTGATGAATGTCTAAGATCACATTTAACATTTTAGTACATCAAAACTGACAACAACCCGTCGGTTTAAGCTAGCTGAATACGTTCTGATTTCGACGATGTCGCGCATTCATCGATTGAGTACTCATCAGGGCGGAGCGTTGTCTAAGAAGTATTAGGACGTACAGTTTCATATACCGGAAGTAGAAGAGTGACGTCATCCTAGTATTTATCCGGCAATTGACAACAACGCTGAATTCATTTCCGTTTCTCGCAGTCAGCCGAGAACGTTAAAGAAATCATGGACAGTCAAGATACTATATATACTCTGGATAAATGTACATGTTCACTTTGTGTCTCGCCTTAGACCCGTTCCCATCACACAATGAAACCTATTTATACCGGACATTGCTAATCCGGACAGTCAACACGCGATTGTTACTAGTACCATTTGTTAAAGGATATAAAAATATCTTTCCATTACACAGTAGATTTCAATAGAGACGACTTTGTCCAGATTAACAGGGGTTCACTTTTCATCATCACGGATTCACATACACATGTCCTTCTTCAGATCAGCCGGATATGACAACCAGAAGCAACGTTAGATCATCCTATGGTACGACTCCATGTTTAATGTGTAGCCCAGGCTGAAAACAGTCTGTCACTATAGTGTCAGTTCTCAGTATAATCCCAAATAGAGTTAACATGGGTAACGTTTAAACCATCCACGATTCGCATGATAATGTAGGTTGTTTACCCCTTGTCATCATCCACGCTGCTTCCTCGGCTAGGAAGGACTTCAGTATGCGTCATGTCCTATTATGACAATGGATTACCTTACATACATGACGCTAGCTATTCTGCTCCTCTCGTCAGTATATGGAAAAGGTATGTACTGATTTGTTTATAATCTTCAAGTAATGACCACATGTACATCACGTACATCGATGTACCGTCAATATTGTTGGTATGATTGTTCTCAACTTCATTAATCGTCTTGTTAGCGTGATGCACAAGGGAGATCGTTCTATGGATAAACGTGTTTATCTTAATGAAGGCGTGGTAGATACTAGCACTCTTGAGCGATAATGTTTATTATTACTGTTAGTAATATGCCTTATATACTGTTGAGAGGCATTTTTAGAAGTTGGAGAGTCAGATAAGGACAAATTTTATGGATGAACAACGTCTTTATTCAGGTGATGCGACGTTTCGATACAGATCCTTGTATCGTTGTCAAGCAGGTATCAACGCGACATTTTGACTAATTCATGTATTCTTGCTTTAGTCAGCATCCATAAAGTTTGTCTTTATAATATGCCTTATCGCCGGTACATATGGACTTCTAGAACAGACACTGTCACGCTGTGACGTCGTCGCCTAAAAACAAAAAAATGTGACTAACTAAAGGAGGAATGCATGAAATAGTCAAAATGTCGCGTTATCTCATCAGCGATCGCGATTTGGTTCATTCTGGCAACATAAGGCAGACGTTTTGGAATGTGAAACATGTTACAAATTGATAAATATAGACAATAGAGTATTCTGTTGAAGGTTTCTGGGTGACTGAGAAAGATATTGGTTCAGATGTACTAGTGTCTGAGATGAACCAGACGCTGTCATGGGCGACGTCAGAATCTACATGCAGGAGACTTGGTGGTCATCTGTACGTTGAGGCATCGGGAGACACTGTGGGGAGTCTTGCTGGCAGACTGGAGGAAGATACACCCTATTGGGTCGGTGGCACGGTTGTCACACCGTCCTGGTACTGGGAGGGCACACAGGGTAGGTCAGGGTTGTCACACAGACCTGGTATTGGGAAGGCACACAGGGTAGGTCAGGGTTGTCATACAGACCTGGTATTGGGAAGGCACATAGGGTAGGTCAGGGTTGTCACACAGTCCTGGTATTGGGAAGGCACACAGGGTAGGTCAGGGTTGTCACACAGTCCTGGTATTGGGAGGGTACACAGGGTAGGTCAGGGTTGTCACACAGTCCTGGTATTGGGAGGTCACACAGGGTAGTATTGGGAAGGTCAGGGTTGTCACCCAGTCCTGGTATTGGGAGGGTACACAGGGTAGGTCAGGGTTGTCACAGTCCTGGTATTGGGAAGGCACAGTCACACCAGTCCTGGTATTGGGAGGGTACACAGGGTAGAGTCAGGGTTGTCACACAGTCCTGGTATTGGAAGGGTCACACCCAGTCCTGGTGGGAGCTGTCACACAGGAGTGGGAGGGTACACAAGGGTAGGTCAGGGTTGTCACACAGTCCTGGTATTGGGAGGGCACACAGGGTAGGTCAGGGTTGTCACACAGGGTAGGGTGTGTCACAGGGTGGGAGGTCAGGGTTGTCACCCAGTCCTGGTATTGGGAAGGCACACAGGGTAGGTCAGGGTTGTCACACAGTCACCTGGTAGGGTTGTCACACAGGATTGGGAGGCACACAGGGTAGGTCAGGGTTGTCACACAGTCCTGGTACTGGGAGGGTACAGAGGGGTAGGTCAGGGTTGTCACCCAGTCCTGGTACTGGGAGGGGCACACACAGGGTAGGTCAGTCCTGGTTGCACACAGGGTCAGGGTTGTCACTGGTAGGGTACACAGGGGTTGTCACACAGTCAGGTATTGGGAGGTACACAGGGTCACATAGTCCTGGTACTGGGAGGGTACACAGGGGTTGTCACACAGTCAGGGTTGTCACAGTCCTGGTATACAGTCCTGGTATTGGGAGGGAGGGTACAGAGAGAAGGTACACAGGGTCAGGGTTGTCACACAGTCCTGGTACTGGGAGGGTACACAGGGTAGGTCAGGGTTGTCACACAGTCCTGGTACTGGGAGGAGGAGGGTACACAGGGTAGGTCAGGGTTGTCACATAGTCCTGGTGGGAGGGTACACAGGGTAGGTCAGAGTTGTCACACAGTCCTACTGGGACAGGGTCAGGGTTGTCACACAGTCCTGGTACTGGGAGGGTACACAGGGCAGGTCAGAGTTCTCACAGTGTCCTGGTACTGGGAGGGTACAGAGGGTAGGTCAGGGTTGTCACAGTGTCCTGGTACTGGGAGGGTACACAGGGTAGGTCAGGGTTGTCACAGTGTCCTGGTACTGGGAGGGTACACAGGGTAGGTCAGGGTCGTCACAGTGTCCTGGTACTGCGAGGGTACACAGGGTAGGTCAGGGTTGTCACACAATCCCGATACTGGGAGGGCACACAGGGTAGGTCAGGGTTGTCACACAATCCCGATACTGGGAGGGTACACAGGGTAGGTGTTGTGAAACATCAAAGTATATGGTGGCAAGTCGGGGTGTCACACGGTCCTGTCACAGGAAGAAATATTTAGAATGTGTTTTTGTTATTAGTCTTTGCTGACAAATACGATCTCTTCCGAGCAGTATTGAAACTATTCCTCTCAAAGCCTGACAGTGTTGTTATATCCAGCATATTCTATATTCCGACCAGATCGTCTGTACCCTTACATAGGCTACATCTCCTCATCCAACATCAGGAAGATCAGAACCACACACTATGAAGACAACCAGGCCTTCACCTGCTTCACCTTCTGCAACTCGATGTATGTTGCACTCAAGGTAACAGTGAGCGCCAGCTTCTCGAACCCGTATAATAGGAACTAAAAAAATGATACTCTCTGTGGGTATTTTTTTCAGTATTTTTAATTTAAATTTAGACCTAAAACTCATTAGGGACTTACATTTCTGTTAGAGACGGGTTATAGTTTCACTGTTTCAATATATGTTTTTTGTCTGAAGAAAAGAGGGGCGATATGAAGATTGTAATCATTGTCTGGACATCTGGCAATGTCTCGCGAAGATGTCACAACTTGAACCAGTAGTATTGTTCACAGGATGTTTTTAAGAACGTCTTGAAACAAAACTTCGAACTTTCCGCAAATTGTACCAAATGGTTCTTCTCTTTTATGTATCATATCAATTGCCTAGTGTTCCGTATTACCACAAATGCTATTTTTATATCAACGGCCTGTGCAGTTTATGTTTTAGCTTCAGTCATTGTTTCTCTTCTTTACAGGACACTGAATGTGTTTGTCTGAGAGACGACCCAACGCCTGTGGACAGCAGCATATCGAGCTTACTCTGCCCGGGCAACATAGAGGAGAGATGTGGGGACCCTGACGGATACTCTGTATATAGTGATAGTATGTTTCAGGCTACAGGAACCAATAGGAGTGAATGCTGTTTCAAGTCACATAGAGCAATAAGGAGTGAATGTTGTTTCAAGTCACATAGAGCAATAAGGAGTGAATGCTGTTTCAAGTCACATAGAGCAATAAGGTGTGAATGTTGTTTCAAGTCACATAGAGCAATACGGAGCGAATGTTGTTTCAAGTCACATAGAGCAATAAGGTGTGAATGTTGTTTCAAGTCACACAGAACAATAAGGAATGAATGCTGTTTCAAGTCACATAGCGCAATAAGGAGTGAATGTTGTTTCAAGTCACATAGAGCAATAAGGAGTGAATGTTGTTTCAAGTCACATAGAGCAATAAGGAGTGAATGTTGTTTCAAGTCACAAAGAACAATAAGAAGTGAATGCTGTTTCAAGTCACAAAGAACAATAAGGAGTGAATGCTGTTTCAAGTCACATAGAGCAATTAGAAGTGAATGCTGTTTCAAGTCACATAGAGCAATAAGGAGCGAATGATGTTTCAAGTCACATAGAGCAATAAGGCGTGTATGTTATTTGAAGTCACACAGAACAATAAGGAATGAATGCTGTTTCAAGTCACATAGCGCAATAAGGAGTGAATGTTGTTTCAAGTCACATAGAATAATAAGGAGTGAATGTTGTTTCAAGTCACATAGAGCAATAAGGTGTGAATGTTGTTTCAAGTCACATAGAACAATAAGGAGTGAATGTTGTTTCAAGTTACATAGAGCAATAAGGAGTGAATGCTGTTTCAAGTCACATAGAGCAATAAGGAGTGAACGCTGTTTCAAGTCACATAGAGCAATGAGGAGTGAACGCTGTTTCAAGTCACATAGAGCAATAAGGATTGAAATTTTGTCTTAAGTCACATAGAGCAATAAGGTGTGAATGTTGTTTCAAGTCATATGCGGTGATAAGGAGTGAATGTTGTTTCAAGTCACATAGAGCAATAAGGAGTGAATGTTGTTTCAAGTCACATTGAGCAATAAGGAGTGAATGTTGTTTCAAGTCACATAGAGCAATAAGGAGTGAATGCTGTTTCAAGTCACATAGAGCAATAAGGAGTGAATGTTGTTTCAAGTCACATAGAGCAATAAGGTGTGAATGTTGTTTCAAGTCACATAGAGCAATAAGGAGTGAATGTTGTTTCAAGTCACATAGAGCAATAAGGAGTGAATATTGTTTCAAGTCACATAGAGCAATACGGCGTGAATGTTGTTTCAAGTCACATAGAGCAATAAGGAGTGAATGTTGTTTCAAGTCACATAGAGCAATAAGGTGTGAATGTTGTTTCAAGTCACATAGAGCAATGAGGTGTGAATGTTGTTTCAAGTCACATAGAGCAATAAGGAGTGAATGTTGTTTCAAGTCACATGCAGCAATAAGGAGTGAATGCTGTTTCAAATCACATGGAGCAATAAGGAGTGAATGATGTTTCAAGTCACATAGAACAATAAGGAGTGAATGTTGTTTCAAGTCACATAGAACAATAAGGAGTGAATGCTGTTTTAAGTCACATAGAGCAATAAGGAGTGAATGTTGTTTCAAGTCACATAGAGCAATACGGCGTGAATGTTGTTTCAAGTCACATAGAGCAATAAGGTGTGAAAGCTGTTTCAAGTCACATGCAGTGATAATGAGTAAATGTTGTTTCAAGTCACATAGAGCAATAAGGAGTGAATGTTGTTTCAAGTCACATAGAACAATAAGTAGTGAATGTTGTTTCAAGTCACATAGAGCAATAAGGAGTGAATGTTGTTTCAGTCACATAGAACAATAAGGAGTGATGTTGTTTCAAGTCACATAGAGCAATAAGAAGTGAATGTTGTTTCAAGTCACATAGAGCAATAAGGAGTGAATGCTGTTTCAAGTTACATGTAGTTATAAGGAGAGAATGCTGTTGCAAGTCACATGCAGTGATAAGGAGTTAATGTTGTTTCAAGTCACATAGAGCAGGACAATTTGACCAAAATTATTATTTTTGGAAATGATGCAACCCCTTCACTAAATTTGGAATTATGTAAGATATCAAATGTGCTGTTTTAGAGCTATCACAGTTGGAAAAATTCCGTCAGGCCAGACAAAACGATTTCCGGTACGTTTGGGGACTCCTGGAGATCAATGGCGGCTCCCAACCCTTGCGTATAGCCACAACGGACAGTCAGACTGACACCTGGATGGCATTGTGTGGCTCCACGTCGCAGGATGTCAGTGGTAAGATGTCTGAATAAACTAAAGAAATTATAATCAATAAACATAATCTTATATTTCAAGCCCCGTCTGAAATTAACAGTCACTGATGGTTTGTGGGCTCTTACAATCATTTTAGAGGCTCTGGTCGATAGACGTCATGAACTGGACATGACTTCCACTGGTTGGTGCGTAGATGGGGTCGTGTAGAGGGGTTTTCATTGAAAGAGTTCGATTCCCCACAATGTATGACGCCCATTTCTGGTGTCCCCCCGCCGTATTATTGCTAAAAGCAGCCAAACACACACACACACCCAAAAACAACAACAAACAAAAAAACACACACGAAAACAACAACAAAACCAGCAAACAAAACAACAAAACAAAACAAAACAAACATTAAAGCAAACAAAAAAACACACAAGAAAACAAAAAACAACAACCAACAGTTAAACAAACAAAAACAAAACAAAAAACCCAACTAACTCACTCACTCACTCCACGTGTATTTCTGTTATACTTGGGCGTGTTAGCAGGACATACAGGGGAAGGACGGGAGTAAATCGGGGTTGAACGTCACGTTATTAACGATTACGAGTATGTTGCTGACAAGATCTATCTGCATTTGTTTAATGCATTTGTGCAGGATATAGATATAGCTTATGGTATGGGGTTCAGGTAGTATATACATGGTTAGGCAATGCAAGAACACTTACCACTTTGATTTACATCAGTGCCTATGGATGCAATTATCGCCCCATCTACACGCCAACAAGCAAGAGAAACGTGTAAAGGGGAACTTCTTCAAGTGCGAGGGAGAAGGAATTCCCTTCAAGCAGGTCGCTATTGGATAGGACTTCGGAGAAGCTTTTCCTGGATATGGATCACAGGTAAAGTTTAATGTCTTTTAGCTGTTTTCAGTGTCGATCAAGAGGACCTTGTTTAAAACCCCACTTTGAAAAGTATCTCAGTTATATCACTGATTTGTAAAATATCGAATGGTCGCGAACGCTTTCACAGGAGTCCAAGAACGTGGGTATGATGCTGACTTACATTGATCATCATCGCTGAGGATCCTGGCACAACGAAGGGAAGCAACTCATCAAACCATATCGATTGTTTTTACACCAATGGTTCACACATGTCCCCGTCAATGCATTTCCTTCTATCAATTACTTTTACAAGCATAAAACCTTGAATAGTTGCGAAGGATGCGTGGACAATCTGTTTTAATGAAGTTTTTAACGCTGCACATTGAACAACAAATAGAATAATGGTTTAGAACGTAAGGTTTTGAATACATTCAGAATAGACGAGAAACGAGAAATAAAATACCCAATCGCTTTTTAAAATTTTATTTTATACATGTATTTGAATTTATTTGACAACAGGCTGTTTTCATTCTTGGCGAATAATTAGAAACAAGAGCAACAATAAATTATTCAAAGAGTCATCCAAACTGTGAACTTCTATGTCCATTAGCTGCCGACGGAATTGGATCCCATGAAGGTAGAATGTTTAGATTGACTTAGAGTATGGTGTTATTCATCTAGTATAGAAACAAGTGAAGAAACACGAAACATACGTTGATGTGAGTTAGGTAAGACTTCTATTAATCTGACGTGAAAGGTTTGTTTCAGTTGGTATTAAGCTTGAAATGCACACTACTTAGAGATCAAACGTTCTGTACATCAACTATCAAATAGAAATGTGGTATGCTCTGTCCGAGCATTACTAAACCGTCTCAGGTCAACATTGTTCATGTTAGGGTCCAATTACTTTTAGAAAACGATTCAGAGCTACATTCTTAATGATTAATCGAGTTTGTTGTGCATTTCCCCAAGTATATTCAATTAAATATATACTCATGCCAATAATGATTGTCACCCCTTTCAATTTTTTTAATTGGAGTGGGGGTGTGGGGTGGGTGTGTGAGGGTGTGTGGGGTTGGGGTGGGGAGGGGGGTGACAACCATTATTGGCATGAGTATATATCAACAGTGTCTCAATCCACATAAAAGGGGTGGTAGGGTAGCCTTGTGGTTAAAGCGTACGCTCGTCATGGCGAAGGCCCGGGTTCGATTCCCCCGTACAATGTGTGAAGCCCATTTCTGATTTCCCCCGCCGTGATATTGCTGGCATATTGTTAAAATTGTAAACACCAGCCCACTCCCATACCTACCAGGGATAGTTTGGTAGCTCAGTGGTCAAATCGTTTGCTCTCGTTACCCTGAAAGCCGGGCTCGAGTACCAACATCGGTACAATGTGTAAAGTCCGCTTTTGATGCCCTGTCGTAGGATTTTTCTGGGATATTAGTACAAGCGGCCTAAAACTGAATTCACCCACTATACTTGCAGGTAAAGCGGTGACACAGGGTATTACGAACGCTTCACTACCCTACCGTTGTCTGTCGGTGAGGAAACGAGGAAGTTCAGTTCGTGTCGAGAATCAAGACTGTTCCAAGCCATTGAGATACATATGTTTAACAGGTATGGTAACAATGAACCCTTTATCACTGAGCAAGTTCAGATTTAACCTCGCAGCGACACCACCTGTCATGTAACGACAAACCAATGAAAAGCAACAAACACTATACACATGGAAAAAAGAATCGCAACACCCCATATTTTTCACAGAATCCATCAATCTGTTACCATTAACCGTAGCCAGGAACGTATTCAAACTTCAATTTAACGTACATTTTGGACCCTCAAGAAATAATTAAATGACAACTATATACGTAGAAGGAACGAAAACAAAAACGAAATGTGAGTAATTCAGAGAAACAAACAGGACATGAAATGACGTCGAATGACGTTAACAAGTACGGATATTTTCAAGATTCTGGTGTACAATCCTAAACATATTACATCAGTATCAAGGAATAATAGACGACATTGTCAATATCTGATGTAACCCAGCTATCATTTACAGTCTAAATGGTTCCCAGGAACTGAGAACAGTTGGTTGGAGTATGCGTATGGCGCTATTCATCAAGGAAACAGCTAAGGAAACAGCGAAACATACGTCGTGGTTGTTTTGTTTTGTATACACCTGGGATTTCGATCTGTTTAAAATCCTAGCTCTCTGCTTCCCCTGTTTTTTGCAGACACCAATAGTCCCGGGAGTCCCGAGGGTGAGGGTTTTGGCTGGGCACTACCCACAGGGGTGGCTGGGGCTGCAGCGGCTCTCATCATCATAATCGCCGCCACGGCTGGATGTTGCAGACGGTAGGTTTTCAGCTTCCAGGGAAATTATATTATGTGTACAATAATTGCTATGCTTTCGTCTTGTTCTTGTTTTGTACTTCTGTGTCTTCTTCTCCTTTGCTTTTTAATTATTGTCGTTGGGCGATGGGGTAGCCTAGTGGTTAAAGCGTTCGCTCGTCACGCTGAGGACCAGGGTTCGATTCCCCACATGGGTACAATGTCTGAAGCCCATTTCTGGTGTCCCCCGCCGTGATATTGCTGGAATATGCTAAAAGCGGCGTAAAACTAAGCTCACTCACTCACTCCTATTGTTGTCTTCTGTGTTTTCGTTTTTCAGTTTACTTTGTTTACTCCTCTAGGTTTCCTGTACTCTTTCTCTATTTGTCTTCTATTTTTCCATTGTGTTTTTCAGCTTCGTTGTTTCTCTGTTGATTTCATGTATTCTTCCTTTTTACGTTTCTTGTACATTTTCTTCTCTTCCCTCTTCCTGAGTCAAGTTTTGCCCTGATCATAATTCATGGCATTGGCCAAGGGTTTCAGCACAGTGATGGACGTTTGAGACATTCTCCCTTTAGGGAATTACTCAACTTAAACTGACTCTCCGTTATATGACTGAAAAGTAGAACTGACCAAAATCATGTGATTGGTTACATAGGTTAAATCCGAATACCTAGAGTAATTGGAAACAAACAATGTAGTCATCTGAAACCCATATTTCAATCAGGTGAAGCAGCTTTATTTGCTTGAATTTATTTCATTCTAGGTTATCATCGTGTCAGACTTCGATGTGTTTGTTAAGTATAAGTAATACAACATAAATATAACATTTGGCTTTTGTTGTTAAATAACATGTTTGTGTTGTGTCATGATACAAATGGTTTTGCACTCGTTCGTGAAAGTGTCAATTTTGTCAGGTCGCTCGATGAGATACTCCTGTTATTTGAAACATATTGCCAAATACCAGTATCCTATATTTGTTAATATTTGAACTTCTTAGATGATCATCAACATCCATGAACATTTTTCAGCAGACTGAAAAGCAAGAGGGTCACAAAAGTGAAGCATGAGAAGGCAAGAGTAGATGTGAAACGTCTCAGACGAGAGTCTACTGACGTGGAGTATTCTGAAGTGAGAGATTCTACCACGATTCCTGCATCCCCTGACTCTTTTGCTGCAGAAGAGGATGCGTACCAGATCCCCTACAACGCGGAGTTAGGTATTGGTGGGCGTGGCCAGCCCAGCAGCCAGGCTATATATAGCCATGCAGCACAGCTGGGCGGAGCTGGAGCCACAGACTACGATGTTACAGGTAACAGAGGCAACTCGACACGCCCACTCGATGATTATGATCACATTGGATCACATGCAGATCAAAGTGAGTCGCAAACTGCCGCATATGATACCCCGAGGTCCACGAGGAAGTGTGTTGATGTTGCAGAGGTTGAAGTCGTCAACGATGAAGGTGGCTATCGAAGCACAGACACAACCTGTTTTCCTGTTCAAGTCAGCTACAGTGAGCGCGAGAACACCGGTCTACAGTACGATACACCTCGGCGTGGTAGCCCTTTAAGTGTTGCCCACGGGGTTGATGCTAACGTTGGGGGTGGGGACAGAGGGGTTAATGTCCCTGCGTATGACGTCCCGAGGAGTGACAGGGTCGGGCATGTCATACAGTTGTGAAGAATTCCAGGGAAATCAGTAAAGTGCCGGAAGTGTTCGTAAAATCGTAACCAGCAGCTGACCACAAAACGATCTTAGCACTGTGACGACTACAGGACAATGTTGAGTGAGTGTGTATAGTTTAACGCCGCTTTTAGCAATATTACAGCAATATCACGGCAGGGGAAACTGTAACGGACTTCACACACTGTACCCATGTGGGGAAAAAAATCGAACTCGGGTTACGAGCGAACGCTGTAACCACTAGACTACACCACCTCCCCCGTGACAATGCTGAAGCGATTTACGATCACGTTAGTACTAAGACAGCTTTATCGAACGTCACTCCGAAACATACATTTCAGTTCGTCCTGCTTTCTTGAGTATGTCATGTACAGATCAGTGGACGTAGCAAAATAATATTTATTGTTAAGTTAAATAAACTGATTACAGTAAACACTTGGAAATTTGATTTGACCCCAAAATATACGTGAATAAATTGGTACTAGGTATAAAAAATTGCGAAGAAACTGCAAAAGTATGAAACAGTGAAAACGTGACTCATCTTCGTCGAATAACTAGTTCTCGTTTGTTTCCTGTTAATATACCTTCAAACATGGTTGTATACTTTCTGTTTTTTCGCAGTATATATTCTGTACATCATTAAAGTAATACTCAGTGAAGTCTTAGTATCTGTTTTGTCGCACGTTGTGTCACCATGCAATGTCATCCTTGTACTGCAAGACTTGTATCCCTTGCTGTGTGTCTCCAGTACACTTAAAGTGATATTTGAGTTAATTCACAAAGGGAGACAATCCAGGGGACAAAACAAACTTGATGCACTTCATCATAAAGGTGAGGTGAAATTGGATTAAACGTCGTGCTTGAGAATATTTCGCTCATATGACGACGTGCATGCGTGTGTATGTGTGTGTATGTGCGGCGCCTTGTACTAGCCCAGACTGAAGCTGGTTTTATAGTGCCAGCCCACTGAGATACCATGCCGCAGTGAAGCATGAATACCCAACTCAGACACATTATACTGACTCCGAGCCGACCAGTCGTTGTACCCATTAATGCCGAGTGCCAGGCAAGGACCAACAAGTACCATATTTAAACGTGTTTTGGTATGACGCGGTCGAGGATCAAACCCGCGACCTTTCGCTCTCCGGGTGGACGCTCTAATAAGGGTTCGGACTACTGCTACAACTACTACTACTTTTACTACTACTACTACTACTACTACTACTACTACTACTACTACTACTACTACTACTACTACTACTACTACAACTACTGCTACTACTACAGCTACAACTACAGCTACTACTACTTTATTACTACTACTACAACTACAATTTACTGCTCACTACTGCTACAACTACAGCTACTACTACCACTACTTTACTACTACAACTACAGCTACTGCTACTGCTGCTACTACTACTTTATTGCTACTACTACAACTACAATTTACTGCTTACTACTGCTACAACTACTACTACAGCTACTACTACTGCTACTACTTTACTACTACAACTACAGCTACTACTTTACCACTACTGCTACAACTACAGCTACTACTTTACTACTACTTTACCACTACTGCTACAACTACAGCTACTACTACTACTACTACAACTACAGCTACTACTACTGCTACTACTTTACTACTACTGCTACAACTACAGCTACTACTACTGCTACTACTTTACTACTACTACTACAACTACAGCTACTACTACTGCTACTACTTTACTACTACTGCTACAACTACAGCTACTACTACTACTACTACTTTATTACTACTACTACAACTACAGCTACTACTACTGCTACTACTTTACTACTACAACTACAGCTACTGCTACTACATTACTACTACTGCTACCACTACAGCTACTACTACTGCTTTACTACTACTACTACTGCTACTACTACTACAACTACAGCTACTACTACTTTATTACTACTACTACAACTACAATTTACTGCTAACTACTGCTATAACTACAGCTACTACTACCACTACTTTACTACTACAACTACAGCTACTGCTACTGCTACTACTACTACTTTATTGCTACTACTACAACTACAATTTACTGCTTACTACTGCTACAACTACTACTACAGCTACTACTATTTTACTACAACTGCTACAACTACAGCTACTACTACTGCTACTACTTTACTACTACAACTACAGCTACTACTACTCCTACTACTTTACCATTACTACTACTACACTACTACTACTGCTACTACTTTACCACTACTACTACTACTACTGCTACTACTTTACCACTACTGCTACAACTACAGCTACTACTTTACTACTACTGCTACAACTACAGCTACTACTACTGCTACTACTTTACTACTACTACTACAACTACAGCTACTACTACTGCTACTACATTACTACTACTGCTATAGCTACTACTGCTACTACTACTACTTTACTACTACTACTACAGCTACTACTGCTACTTTACTACTACTGCTACAACTACAGCTACTACTACTGCTACCACTACAGCTACTACTACTACTTTACTGCTACAACTACAGCTACTACTACTGCTACTACTTACTACTACTACTACTACTACAACTACAATTTACTGCTTACTACTGCTACAACCACTACTACAGCTACTACTACTTTACTACTACTGCTACAACTACAGCTACTACTCCTGCTACTACTTTACTACTACTACTACAGCTACTACTACTGCTACTACTTTACTACAACTACAGCTACTACTACAAATACTACTACTGCTACAACTACAGCTACTACTACTGCTACAACTACAGCTACTACTACTACTACTACTACTACTTTACTACTTTACTTCTTACTACTATTACTATTAATACTTCCTACTACAACTTGAGTGCGGCGTAAAACTAAACTCACACAACTCCTGCTACTACTACTGCTACTACTTATACTACTTCTTAGTACTAATACTACTTTACTACTACCTCTACTTCTACTACTACGACCTCACGGGATCGGGTGGTCAGATTGGCTGACTTGGTTAACACATGTCACCATATGCCAAGTGCGTAGATTTATGTTCATGCTGTTGATCAGTGGATTGTCTGGTCCAGACTGTTATTTACATACCACGCCATATAGCTGGAATAGTGCGGCGATAAACAACAAACATAACCAAGAAACAAGGATGACATGAAGTGTTCACCACAAACACACAAACAAACACACCTCCTACCACTACCAACAACAACGCTGCTGCTGCTGCTGATGATGTAATGATGATGATGATGATGATGATCTTGTTAATATGACCTCATTCCCACGGCTAAAATAACTTTTTTGCTACATATGATATTTATTTTACGTGTTTTATAGTAATCATTAATCATTTTGTGTTACTTTGAACCCATTCAGCCATTAAAGAACCACTAAACTTTGTTTTTTGTTACTCTTTTAACCATTACATATGAAAGTCTTATGGTTAGTCTTATGCGGAACACCAAATTTATTCTTTAAAAACTTGTGGTTAATTAATACCGAGCGATTAAAAGTGGCCAAAAAAGTCGCCTGCTTCCCTCTCGCCCGCCAACGAAACCACAGACAGGTTACGTAACTCTGTCGCCAGAGCGCTGCAGTGACGTCATATGAGGAACGATTTTCAGTTAGTTGTATAGAAAATGTGTAGCACGCTCATCATTTTGATGATTTCTCGACATCAACGACGACATGCCGAATCGTTGCTTTGTCGTCAATTGCTCCTAGGGGTCGGGCGATGGTGTCCCCATGCACAGATTTCCACAGGACCCCGCAGTTCGTGCTAAATGGGTTATGTTTGTGAGTGCGAAGCGAGCGTTGTGGAAGCCTGAAACGATATCTTACTTGTGTTCAGATCGCTTCACGGAAGTTAAAGAATCAAAACTACTTACTAGTTTTAGTAAAATATGCATATGATTGATGACCATAAAGATTTTCTATGACACAACTTGTAACATAACGATTTCTTCCTCGGAAGTGAGGTTGTGGTCGAAGTAATAATAATATTGTAAGTAGTATTATATTGACATCCACCTCGCTGCCACGAGAGAAATTGTTATGATATACGCTATGTCATGCAAAATCCTATTAATATCAATAAAATACATATTTTATTACCAGTAGAAAGTAGTTTTGATTTTTGTAACTCGGTGAAAACAAACCTAAATACCATTTATCCTCAGACTGGCGGATGTTCCCGACAGGGCGCCGCCATTTTTAAAAATAAAAAATCTGTTAGAATTAATGAGATTATAGTTTGTTTTCATCAAGTTAGAAAATCAAGACTACTTTCTACTCGTTGTTAAATATGTATTGGAATCATAACCAAACGGATTTTGCATGACACAACTTATAACATAACGATTTCTTCCACGGAAGCGAGGTGGGGTCGAAGTCACAATACTGCGCGATAAATTTCTTGCTACATTCCCATGGTTAATGTCCACTCACCAGTATGTAGATACTAGTCAATGTGCGTCTTTATATTTGGTCTTATAATCCTAATTAGTTTATTATCACACTTGTATGAATTTTGAAACTAAATAAAAAGCAGACGATCTGCTGATACTTATAGTGAATTTATAACAGAACTGTAATATCTAGACATTTTATAGTTTGCCAATGTGAATCATAATTCGCACACACACCCTAGTGCATGTTGTCTGTCTCATTACACTTCACGGCGAAAACAATGATTCTGTTGAATGCTACGACAAATGAATAAAACAAAATGCAAATATTAAAATTAAAACAGATTAAAGTTATAGGAACAATATCAGGCCATTACCTTGTTCGAGGAATGTATCCATCAATATCCACAAAACTGTTCCAAATGATGTGTCTTTTAACAGTTTAATATACGAAAAAGTGATAAATCTTTTCAGGTATTGGTGTATAGTCTCATTGGTCACCCAAGATAGCACACCTGGCAACTAATTGCATAATGTCCGCCTTTCTTTAAAAAAACAGTAATTTAGTTAGCCAATAATGGGCAATCAATCAATGTATTGCCGGTTAATCCTTTGAAAGAAGGACGTTGTTTTTACGCAGACACCGACACGACAGAGTGTATTCAGTATAGATTAGTAAATCTACATACATAAACACTACCTTTTGACAATTCCGCTGTGTAAGATAAAAGTAATTAATCAATCAGCGTGTTATCGGTTAATCCTTTGATCGATGTTTATAATGTTGAATATTTACTCCAGACACAAGAAATGCCAAATGGGAACCTTTGTCGGGTAATCTAAGGGTGTTACCACTAATTATACCTGTTGTAAATTCATTAACTGACCATCAAGTGAATGATGACAAATAACATGTGTAGGTTTATACCACCTAACACGGGTTACAACGAGGGAGTATTAATTGCTGTATTGCATGTGAAAACTTATGGGCCGACACTGTTTTGAGAATACAAACAGATTTTACATGACATGATTAAATATCGAGGTAAAACAACACAGAAATGGGATCAATTTGATCAGTCATTATACAAATAGGGCCTAACGACACCAATCGATTTTGACAGAATCGTCTATGAAAACAAGTTGTAACTCGGAAACTAGGCAAAGCAGGAGACAAAATTAAATGACAGTAGATTGTGAGAACATATAGCTTTCATTTTCCAAA